CACACACACACACACACACACATTTACATATACACATTTACACACACTCATATACATGCGCATATCAACACACACACACACAATTATACACCCACACATTTACACATACACACATTTACACACACACACACATTTACACACACACACATTTACACACACACACATATTTACACACACACACACATTTACACACACCACACATTTACACACACACACACACACACACACACACACACACACACACAACACACACACACACACACACACACACACACACACACACACACACATTTACACACACACACATTTACACACACACACACACACATTTACACACACACACACACATTTACACACCACACACACATTTACACACCACACACACACAACACACACACACACACACACACCACACACCACACATTTACATTTACATATACACAGTTACATATGCACATTTACACACTCACTCATATACACGCACATATCAACATGCACACATATTTATACACACATACACACACATTTACATATCCACCAGTTACTTATGCACATTTACACACTCACTCATTTACACAACACTATCAACCGCACACATATATTATATCACCCACACATATTTATACACCCACACACATTTACATATCACACACACATTACACACACACACACATATTTACACACACACACACACACACACACACACACACACACACACACACACACACACACACACGAAACACACACATACACAAACGCACGCATACATGACCACACGCATACACAACCACACGCATACACGACCACACGCATACACGACCACACGCATACACGACCACACGCATACACGAACACACGCATACACGAACACACGCATACACGAACACACGCATACACGAACACACGCATACACGAACACACACACACACACACACACACACACACACACACACACACACACACACACACACACACACACACACACACACACAACACCACACAACATGAATGAAAGCTGTGAAAATAGAGGCTAATGGTAAATACCACTCATAATGTAAAGTAATGGCTCCTAAGTTACTTGAACTCATCTTCAGCGCATGGGGACACTTTCACAGGATCGTTCCTTTGGTTCATGAGCATTTTGAGTCCTTTATGGCCGAGGAGTGACCTTGCACATAGTCACATTGATAGACTACCGAACACACTTGCCAAGGAAAGGGTTTGATTCAGGCGTAAATATGCAAATAGGGCTGTCGTGAACACGAGTTACTTTGGGTTGACGGAATGAAGCTATTATGGTGGTGTTCTTACTTATGGAGGAACCCGTTTCTATATGTGATTTTGATTTGGATTTTTTGCCTTTAGAGATAATCCTTTGGGATACATGTCTTCCAGTGTTGATGGCTAGTTTTTATGGAGAATATTGATTATTTGATTGACAATTGATGTTTGACTTGGATTTGCAGGAGGAACTGGATGAGATTGAGGCCCTGTTGGAGAGAGAGCAGGAATTGCTGGGCCAGCAAGACCATTCTCACCACACCTCTGTCAACTTACTCCATAGCCCAGGTACGTGTATGATGCTTATCCATGGGGTCGTCAAGGAGAATATTAGACTGACTTGGATCTAGAGAAAGAATCATATGATGATGATGAAATTTTAGATATCACCAATCACTCAATTATCACAAAATACATGATTAATTTAGTTTGTTTACTTAGATGGCTCTACTAGTGGTTAATCACTAGTTAGTAGGCCAGCAGGATTTTATTTGATTTGATTAAGTTTGTGTAGTGCACAATGCCATGCTCAGAGCCAGAATCAGATGCCAAAGCATTTATCCAATCTGGTTGAGCTTCTGTTCATGAAAAGAGCTGTCAGTTAGACTCAGATTCTACATGCCTGGAAGCTTGTGCCAAGTTCTGGCCTTATTTAAATGTCGTATTTAGTTTGTGAAAAAAAAATCATATTACTAATCCTGAACCGTATTCATGTTGACAAATGTGGAAAGGTATGAATGAGAACAAATATCTTCACAAGTTTGTGTATTTCTGAAGAAGATATAATTGAAACCGGTTAAATACATATCTTGCATTGTGAAGATATTTGTTCTCTTCATACCTTTCCACATTACTAATCCTATATTTATGCAATACCAGTATCTACAATAATTTGATATAATCAGTAAGTTATATATTGTGGACAGTACTATTTGACTGATAGGATGCATCAGAAACTCAAAATACTAATTACATGGGTGAGATGCAGTTTCCTCTAATTTAATTTTTTCCTTTCAATTATTGTTATTTTATCCCCCGTTTTTTGTACAATTGGTAGTGTTTCCAGTTTTATCAAGCTAATGTCTACATGGAAAAAGAAAAAGTCCACAAACTTTGATATTTAGTCAAAAGCCCTTCAAAGATTACTTAGGGTTCTTAATGATGGTAATTTTGATTACAAAAATGTGTGTGTGGTGTGTGTGTGTGTGCACCTATATACATATATATCTATATATGTGTGGTGTGCTATATATAATATATATATATATATATATAGAGAGAGAGAGAGAGAGAGAGAGAGAGAGAGAGAGAGAGAGAGAGACATTTGATTTTTATTATGTTCTTCCTTTTTCAGACCAGAACTGGAGGCCCCCGAAACAGTTCAGCCAAAGGCAGATCCGAACACCTCGCAGCATTTCACGAACCCAAGGGAACTTTGCAGTACCTCAGAACCAATTGGTGGCTCTCACCCGCAACATGACGTTCTCAGATGCAGAGGAGGACCACCAGGGCTCACGCAACAGCCAGGATGCCTCCAACAGGTAGGCCAAGTGACATATGAATGTGTACAGAAATCCCAGGTACTTTTTAAAATTGACTTTAATAGCAATGTTAGAGTTGTAATACTGTATAGAGAGAGAGTGGGGGGGATAAGCATACTCATCCTATATTGGAGTTATCAGTAAATATGATTTGTTTTTTTCAGTGGTGGTGCTGGTGAAGGATCAAGTAACCATGAACGCTCAGTGAGCCGTTCTCGGACAGAATCAGGTGTGAGCAATGCCTCAACGGCCTCTCTGGTCACTCCACTCTCATCCGCTCCTCCCATGGCCAACGGGCAGGCTCCTACCGAGAGTAGTGACCCCACTACTCCGGTAGCCTCCGCAAGGGCTTCAGATTTGTCAAACTCTGAAATGAGTGCTGCTGCAGCTGCAGTCAGAAATAGCACTGTTGCCGACATGAAGGTGAGTATTGTGTTTGTTTTGTTTTTGTCCATAGATTGTATTTATGCTTTAGTGTGAATCTTTGCTACTGACAGTGTTTTGTCCTTTGGAATGGAAAAATGACAGTCACAAAGCAAAGTTGACAAGGGGTGTGTGCGATATGTAATGCACATCAAATTTGTATTTATAAATCTGCCAAGGTTATAAAAGAGTGTGTGCTCTTTAACTGATATAAAGATGCACATAAGCCACTCTGCCCTTAACGTTGAGGCGAGAAAATGTTTCACACTAGAATATTTTATTACAGTCCTCTATGTGGACAGCACGCAGGCTGGTGAGAAGCTGCTCCCCAAGAAGGGTTGGTTAGGGTGTGGATTCTCCTGGGGCTTATTCCTGGATTCTGTTTTTCCATCCCATTACTAAAGGCAAATCCCTGCGGATCCCTTTCCCGTTGTCTGTTTGAACGTGGCGTGGAATTTTGGTTTCGTGCTGGTGTTTTATTCTTATTGTGTCATTCTGCATTATTTTTTATTTGCATGATGTTATTCATGTATATATGTCATTTGCTTCTGTTGGACCTGTGCAAGGACCCTAAGCCTGGATTAAAAAGATAGAGCACCATTCAATTTTTCTGATTGTAGTCTAGTAATATTGTTCATATAATAATGATCATATTATCATAAAATGTTTGGATGAAAATTTAATTTGACCATAAATCGTGATTTTTTTTATATCTTTGTAGATCAAGAAATTGCTCAGTTACATGAGAGAATATGTGTTTCAGATTTGATGGTTCTTTCATATAATTTTTTATTTCTTACAGCTTGTTAGGGCATATATTCTGATATAAGGTCATTTTCGTGTCAGCAATGGGATGATTTTGAAGTGTGCAGATCCTAATCACCAGAGCTATTTAGGTGAAAGTGTGTTCCTGATTGTTTCCCAGTGGGTTCACTGGCTGATACTGTTTGTGTTTGAACAGTTTCTAAAACGGGAATGTGATGTTATTGTTCCAATTAATATGTCTCCATTTGATGTGAGAGAAACACTAATTTGAAGTTGGAAGCAGCAGAGAAGACAAGAAGAGAAATGAGTTACATAGAAAAAGAAGCAAGGCAGAACAGAGGAAAATTGATAAATAGGAGACGAATATAACCTGTACAAAGGGAGAAAAATAACTACAAATGATATACTGCTTGATTATGAAGGAAAAAGCAATGTGTTATCTCAGTTTTACTAGAGCTTTATCTGAAGGCAATTATCACTAGCTTGGAATAATCTTTTTTTGAGAATAGTTGTCTGTTTGGTGAGAGAATCTATTGTGTTTTATTTATGAGACATTATACAGTGTTGTGCAGTGAAAGGTGAATGCAAAGGGGTAAATATTGAATAAAGAATGATAGTGGTATAATAAATTGGGATTTGTAATATAAATCTTGGATAATGGGACACCCTTTTTAATGTTCAGTAGCAATTTGAATTAATGGGTAAACATAAAATTCAGAAAAAGATTTTGAAAATGGGAGCATTTGTGCATAGTGGCCAGCTATCCCAGATAGAAATTTATGTCAGTAGCCCTCTGGAAAAAAAAGATAAACCTCATTGTCATAAACAATGACTTCGTATCGACATATGAATATTTTATAATGGTCCTTAAGTGATTTTGCCAAAGTAATTTTATCTTTTCCACTTGTGTAGGTGAAACATTCCAAAAGACTGCACAACTGACGTAAAATTTAGCTTTTGACTCAGAGTGAATGTGGTTACAAGAATGTATTTTGAAGATTTTCAGGTTTATCACTGTCATCTTTTCAGAAAGAGGAGGAAATGAGTGATTTATCTGTGGTGTCTTTGACAAGGAAAGTGTTGGATTTGTCTGTTGGAATATTGGATATGAACAAGATCTCATTTCCATTTTCTTCTTATTGCAGGGTGTGGACAGCAAGAAGATAGTGGAGAAGCTGCACCAGATTCAGGGCTACATCCAGCAGACCACATCAGCAATGTCAGCTTTGGAACAGCAGGGTGATGTGGTAAGCTGTTGATTTTCTTCTTGTTCTTATTCTTGTTGTTGTTGTTGTTCTTCTTCTTCTTCTCTTGTCTTTTTTATGATTATGATACCATGGTTATCATACATGAAGACATTATTTAGACATTTTTACATTTGTTGTGATAGTGTATTGGATCATTATTTTGTGCTCTTTTCTTTTTTTCTTTTCTTCTTTCTTTCTTTCTTTCTTCTTCTTCTCCTTCTCCTCCTTCTTCTTCTCCTTCTTCTCCTTCTTCCTTCATGATAGTGTATATCAGGGATTCTCAACTTGTGGTAAATTAACCCCCTGTGGTAGAAATATATGTAACAAGTGGTAAATCTCTGATAGTATTGGCTTCTCTAAGCCTAGATGGCAGGTCTAGGAAGATAACATGTTGTACATCTTTTATTTGTTCAACCCGTCACCCATTCCTGGTTCAGAGTTGCCATTTAACAGTAATGTCTCCAATAATGTCTTTAACTTTTGGTAGGACTTAGTTAATTTCTTTTACTTATCAATACAAGGAATTTTGAAAGGTAATAGTATCATGGAGGTAGCATTGTCATCAACAGATTCTCAAATAAAAACACTACTTTGCTCAACATATCAGTCAAGTTCAAACTGATTATGCTTCAGGTATTTAGATTTGGGATTCAGTAACCAGATTTAGCTCTGGTCTTGGCACCACCTCTAGCTGCCCGTTTTGATTGCATCCCAATCATACTCCCGTGGGCTTGGCATGTCTTGGCTTGACTTTGAACATTTTGATGGGTGTTAAAAAAAAGCATAATCATATTTGATAAACTTCTACAGTGATCACAGATTATAGATCAACTGTGACCTTGAGGATATTAACAGGATCTTACTCTCCTAGTACCCCAGGTAGTGAATGTTCAGTCCCCAAGTCAGATAAAGCCAGTTAAACCATGTCTTCAGTATTCTGCTTTTTATGTTGCTGTTTTCTCTTTCTTTTTCTTTCTTTCTTCTTTTCTCTTCTGTTCTTCTTTTCACTTCCCCCTGCCTCTTATATTGGAATTAGCTCTATGTATGTTTTTTTCCTGTATCAAAGAGTATTTTATCCAAGTCTTTAGATTAAAGCTGTTTTCCTTTTTTGTAACCTTGCACAGCCTAACCATTTGTTTATGTAGAAGGTGAATAAAGGCAAAATAATACTTTTTCAGATATGAAAGTTTTCATTTGTGCATTTAGATTAGCCTTTCTCATATTTTCTCTGTTATATTCGAAGTGTTAAAGAGGTATTCCAGCTGGGTCATTTGATGTGAAAAAATATAATAGATTTTGATAAAGTGCAAGTTGAAGTCTTGAATTCTTCATTCTTGATGGCATTTTGTTTGATATTTCCTAGATTGTTTTGTGATTTTATGATTCATGTTGATATGACATCATGAGTTATGATTTTCTCCCCCTCTGGTTGTGGAGACATTTTTATTTTAATTCTCATTCCAATATTTTAAGTGTGACAGTATATGTTATTGTGCAGTTTAATATCTTTAACTTTCCATATATTCTGTTTCCATTCCTATTCGTATATTTACACTCGTCAGCAGTACACTGAATTATGTGCAATAATCCACTGATAGAGAAGGCAGGCTGGTAGAGACTGTGATAACACAGTGAATATGTATTAGTGTCCTGTTGTATTCCGTTGATTTTTATTTTTATTTATTTGACTGTCTCTAAGATTACTACTTGATCATATGAGAAATCAGAGTAGTGATAATGGTGTATCACAAAAGCTACCATTTATAAGTAGTTGACAGGAATAGATTGCATATATGTATGTATATATATATATATACATATCTATATATGTATATCTGTCTATATTTATCAATGTATCTATCTATCTATCTATCTATATATCTATATATCTATATATGTATATGTATATGTATAGATTGGCAGACAGATATAAGTATAGATATTTAGGTTTAGATTTTTCTTTTTTCTTTTCTATTCTGGAAAAGAAACTCAATAAACCATTTACAGAGATGTTTATATACCTAAGTTATGTCATGTTGCTACTCCCAGTCTAAGATCGGGCAGTACAACACCCTGGCAAAGGTGCTGCGAGACCTTAGGGACTCCGAGAGCAAACTCAAGGCCTATCTAGAAAGTGCCAAGAAGTCCGAGGTGATTAGCGTTAGTGTAACATCCCCCCTTGTGTGTCACCCTCCAACCCTGCAGCTTAACCTCTTGATTCAACTGATTTATGGTGTGCCCCCTTGTGTCTGTAGGATGGAGATAGTTGGTAACACAGTAACAAAAACATCTAAAAAAAAATTTAGTCACTCGCACATTGGAATGGTTTGTTCTTTCATATATACATATACATATATGTACATATATATACATACATATATATACATGTATATATATGCATATATATATGCATGTATATATATACATATTTATATATATATCTACATATATATATTTATATGTACATATAAATTTACATATATATTTTATATATATTATATATATATATATAATTATATATATTATATATATATATATATATATATTATATGTATATTATATTATATAATATATATACATATATATATATATATATATATATATATATATATATATATATATATATATATATATATATATATAATGTTTATAAATGATTTTATTTCTTTGTCTCTTTTTATCCTTTATTGACATGCATCCCTAGAACTAATGAGAGTATATTTGTTCTACTAACAAAATTGAATAACTTTTTGTTGCCCCATTGCATTGTACAATGATATGTAGGATTACTTTTATTGTTCCAATTTGATTTTATCAAGGAAGAAATTGTAATGCAAATACAGATATTTCTAACTGATAAAAGATATAAAACTGGGAAAGATTAAATTTTTATTTTTGTTTTCTTTCTTTTTTTCTTCTTTTCCTTTTTTATTTTCCATTTTACTGTGATATTTTATTATAAGAAAACTTAAGAACTATGATACATTCTTAGATACAGACAAAGTACAAAATTAAAATTCATCTGTCTACTTCACAAGGAAGTGGACAGCCTGCTTATTTTTTATTGTCATTTTATTCACTTTATTTCTCGCTCTCTCTTATTTTAAAGGCATATTCTGTGATTGGCATTACCACATTTTGATATATCATTGTAAACATGGCAGGGGCAAACAAGCCTTGTTCTCTAGTTTCGGTTCTTTTTTTTCCTGTTTTCCTGTCCATTTTAACCACAATACATGAATGCAGTAGAAGGAGTGTTTTGTTTTGATGTAGCTTGTCGATGTTTTACTCCTCCAAAGGGTTCCCAGAGTGACATATATGCCAGATTTGCAACACTGAATCAGTCCCTGCAACTTCAGGAGGAGGAGTACATGGACATCCTGGCTAGGTCTCTTGTGCTAAACAAGGTATAGTGATTACCTCTCTTTCCCAAATGATATCTCTGTTTTTTTCAGTTTGGTTTTATTGTGCGAGTTTATTGAGAAGTTGCCCTGGTTGGGGATAGGGATGTTTTTTTAAAGAAGATTTGAGAGTTTTTCCTTTTATACTTTAATTGCTTTGATGTAAAATAGGGTTTGTTAAGATTAAGTCTGGAAATTGTTATTATCATTTGTTGGAATTACTGTGCCATTCCCTTCACGCTAGGGTGTTAATTTCTTTAAAAAAAAAAAGAAAATGGTAGGGTCAATCTGCTTTATTGTTACTCATTTCTATATTATTAACATATGAATATGACCAGGCTGCAGCTGCTGCACAGGCTGCTGCTCAAGCTGCCGGCAGTCCACACAATGAAGAAACAACAACGCCCGCTTCATCCTCTAGCAGAGAAGAAGTTCCGGTTAGTAGTTTGAAAGTAGAATGTAAACAAAGATATAAAAGTTGGTTTTAAATTTTTATGCTATTTTTCTTTTTCTTTTTCTTTTCTTTTCTTTTCTTTTCCTTCTTTCATAGTTGTGTAATTTTGTCCTGTATTTAAGATTTTATGTTTGGTCTTGATTACAAAAACAAGACTGTTATGATGTAATATGCCTTTGCTTCATACAAAGATCAAGGTGAGGCTCCTCATTTAACCCCAAAATACAAATCCATAATGCCACTTATCCCCTCCCCTTGGCTGGGATATGTCTGTGGGAACTTTGATCCATCATTGTAGAACTAAAGATGTACCAATTTAAGGGTGGTAATATGTGAGTCATTCTTGTACACCTGGAAGCATCGAGTAACTGGCACTGACATCGTTAAGATAAGGGGTAGGGGGATAGTGAAAAAAATAAACAAAGTCTAGAATCTAATGACCATGTCTACAGGTGTGCCCAGTACTGAAGGATTTAGTTAGATATATTTCCTTCATATCTTTCTCTAGGTGACTACGAGCAGCTCAGGAGGTGGCAACCAGATCGTTGGCATTGTGGGTCCAGGAAGTGTGCGATCCCTGCAGGAGCGTCTGGCAATGAGCCAGGAGGAGTCACAGGAGATCATGGTGCGCATGAGGGAAAGCATCGCACGCAGAGAGGACCTCATGACACGTTACAAGGTATGCCAGAGGGATTTTCTTTTTGCTCCACCTTCTCTTTATTTTGTGTACTCCATCTACTGTTTTTATTTTTCACCCATTTATAGTTTTATTTGATTTGTTAATTCTTATGATTCCAGTTTTGTATTTATATAAATTTAGGTAAGATTTAAATTGATGCATGTGTACACCTACGAATTTCTGTGTTTAGATGATACTTAGAGTGAATATTTACAAAACCAATACTATTTTTCTCCAGGCAACTCGTGAACGCCTAGAGAATTTGAAGAAGCAACGAAGGGGCTTGCAGGAGGAGGAGAAACGGCTGTTGCAGTCCGCCAGTTCCTCAGAGACCCCCTCTGGTTCCTTTGACAGTCCCTTGCCTGGATCAGAAAACTGGTCCAATGAGGAGATTGAAACAGCTATCACAGACTTCCAGGTCTTGTACGACAAAATAGATAACCTTCTGACAGCATACAATGCAAAGGCTGAGGTAAAAGCAGAGATGTTATTTAGGGTATTGGGTTTTGGGGGTAATATAACTGTTAGTAGTTTTTTTATAATTGGTAGGATTTGGTTGATGGTAAAATTGTACTGGCTGAAATTCTCTTGGTGGTAAATTCCTATCACCCAGGCCCTCAGCCAAATTTTCTCATGACAGCATGTTCACGTCACCTGCCCCTCAAGCCAAATTTTTTCATGATCCATCATGTCATCCGGATGGTAGGGGTTAAATATGCATCTCAGCTATTTCTTATTAACACCAGCATCCTGTAACCTCCTTCCAGACTATAGACCCAGACGACGCACAGGCAGTAGCAGAAATGAATAACAAGAAGGAGCAGATTTTGTCAAAACGTAGGGAGCTTATAGAGTCACTTACATGCCTCCGTGGCATCCAGCAGAGGAGGGCACAGGAAGGGCCTTCAGGTAAGGCTTACGATTTTTATTCTTGTTTTGGTTCTTGTTCTTATTCAAATTTCTAAGATTATTATATTGTTTTATGAAAAAAAATATATATATACATCTATAATATTTACTTATTTATTTATGAATATAACTCTATAGTATCAGTGAGTTACTATCATTCACATTTTGGCATAGTAAGATTTGAAGTGCTTGACTGAATTTTCCATTTCTCCCCAGATGGCAATGAAACCCCCTCGGCCTCAACTCCCCACACTCAGACAAACAACACGGATACTAGCCAGACCCCCAGGGTCACCACTAGCAATACTGGCAATGAAGGAGCCACTGGAAACCCCCACCCACTTGTGGCACGACAGCAGCAGAGCCCCCCTACCGATGGGGAAGGTGCAGCTCTCTCTGGCTTAAGGAATGCTGTGGCCAGTGTCAACATGTTGTCTGAGGAGATGACCTCCAAGAGGAGTGAGCTGCAGTCTCTTCAGAAACAGCTTGGAGACATGAAAAAGCTACTTGAAGTGACCACAGCTGCACGGCAGGAGGTAAGCAGTCTCTATCCCTGTTCATAGTCTTTTAGTAACATGGAGAGACAGAGACAGAATGTAACCCAATGGCAAAAGGTGATATAATGTCATGTCATGGCAAATAATCACTGTTGATCACAGCTGCATGTACAAATGTGTAGTGATTCACCTGACTACAAAAAATATCTCCTACTGTTACTGAGTTAAATGACTTCATATTTGGAATAAAAGATTTATATATTATCCATATAAAGGGCTGTGAAGTGAATTATGTATTGAGGTTTTATTTAATTCCAAGGACGAGAGGAGAATGATTGAAGCACAACAGCGTCTTGCAAAAGCAGAAAATGAGCATGCCATGGCAGCTGCAGCAGCTTCCAGGCGGGATGAGCAGATGGAAGGAGCAGTTGGGGGGGAGATTGTGGGTGTGGACGGACGCAAGATCCAGCTATCTGAAGCGGAGAGAAAGAATCCTGAAATTGCAACCAAATACAGGTGAGTCTGCTGTTAGCCTATGACAGTGTCAAATGACATATTGCCAAATATGTTGTTTTCAGTTTTTAGAGCATATGTAACAAATGTGGTGGCTACTCATTTTCTCTTATACTCCCTTTTAGTCAGTTTTCTGGCATGTTCAATTTTCCACACTGGCTATCAGACAGTCTATTTTATAGTACCTTATTTTTACACCCTGTCTCAGCCATTTTCCCCATCTGATACACAATATTTGTATAGACATAAGTCAGTATTTTGGCTATATGTAGTCACCCATTTTTCTCACTTCTCTCTTTTCTTACCAATGCAGAGAAATCAGCCAATCGAAGGCAAGGCTTGCCATGATGGAGGAGGCACTCTCTATGATCTCCACAGCTAGTAGGAATCGTCAAAATGTGAGGGATGTGCTTCCACCCGAGTATTTAGCTATTCTCGAAGATGCTGAGGTAAGTTGATTATGTGGATTGCTGTTTGAGGGGAGATTTTATAAAATCTTAAATTGTAGGGAATGTGTTTTGCACATAGTTATCTTTGGGCCCATAATAGCACCAAGGGGAGAACTGAATAATTATATATATAGACTAGATATCTATTAGCATAATTTGAAAACAGTGCTCTCTAGAGCTGCACAGCAGTCTGGTACTCAACCACTGAAGATGTATGTGGCAGTTCGCAGGTTAATTAATGGTGAATTTGGATCCAGCAATTGTATAAAGAAGGAACCTCATGCCAGTATGTTTTACTGAAACTGCAGATATAATGCTAAGTTTTATTCTTTTAAATTCTGTATCAGTGAGTGAATTCTTATTTTTAGAACTAAAATGCATATCATAATATGGATGACCAGTATGTGTCAAACATTTATAATTTTTAAAAAGAGTAGTAATTATTGCCTTCATGACAGGGATCTGACTTGGAGGACCCAATACCCCGTAGGGTCACTACAGTTCCTGTGATTGAGGAGGAACCAGAGACAGAAGATAAGTACAAGCCTTCCAGAAGACATGCTCACAGTGCAAGGATGTAAGTGGGTGTTTTCTTATGGTCAGCGATTTAAATAATTGGCCTTTATATATATGCTATATATATTTACACATTTCTCACACTTTCTCTCAGTCTCTCTCACTCTTTCTCTTTCTCACTCACTCTTCTCTAGGGGTGCTAGGAACCGTGAAGGAGCCACATCTACAGGACGCAATGAGCACAATGTCCGCAATGAGGAGAGCCGCGAGATATCAGCCATGCAAAAGAGGCTCAACAAGACGAGCACAAGAATATCAGCTATCAATGAGGGCTCGCGACAAGGCCATGAGAAGGGAGCCATTAAGAAGCAGCCACAGGTTAGTTCAGGGTGGAAACTAATGATCTCAAGACAACTATATTCCTTTTTGGTTTACTGAAGAATCGAGGTATAATCCATGTTCATCAGTGTCGTATTAGTGAAATTTTGAGTAATTCATGTGGATGTTTTAGTATATTTTATGTCAATCCCCCTGAGTAAATTTCACTGATTTGCCTAATCTTGACTACTTGCAGGCACTATGGCGGGAAGGGGGTGCTAATGTCGACCCCAGAGTATCTGAGATGATTGTAATGCAGGAAGAACTGCGGCAAAAGAAGAATGCCCTAGAAGCCCTCATGAGGCGCATGGGGAAGCCCTCTTCCCTCAACATGGACAACATCTCTGACAATATCTCAGACAACATCTCTGAGCCCATGGACAGGCTGGATGGAGTGTCGGGAACAGCAGCCACTTGGGGATCAGGGGCCATGCATGATTACTCTGACAATCACTATCATCAGACAAGGTTTGTTTATATTTTAGAGTCCCTGTGTCATTGAGGGCATTTGCAATTGGTTATGCATTTTGTACAAGAATGTATGAATATAAAATAGTATCTTATATCTGATATTACTTGGTTATCTAGAATTGTATATATAATTATAGGAAACTAGACCAGATACCAGATTTTCTCATTTTTTATTGTGAGCAGTGATGAGGAATTACTTGAGGAGGACATGGAAGGGGAGGTCCCAATGCACAGCCACCGCCGCCCCCAACAGCAATTGCCACCAACACCCAAAGATCGCAACCACCAGCCTGGGTTCAGTCGACAACGGCGCCATCATGAATCAAGCCGGCTTTCTGTCAATAATTTGGCAACTCCCCAGTTAGAGAGGCCTAAGCATAACCGCTTCAGTATGTATTTTTTCCATAGGAAAGAAAATATGCTCATCTATATTACTTTTCTCAGTTTGTGTTATTGATTTCAAATATATCATCTTTTCATACCTGGAAAAGCATGGAAATATTGGTTGTGGAACTTTTAAAGAATACGAAAGAAAACAACTTTTGTGTGGAAGAATTAGACTTAATCAAGTGAATCTTGCAGGAAGTAGCAGTGTGCCCAAGGCAGTGTGGGAGTCTGTTCCAACCATGGATGGACGCACCTACAAGTCCCCCTCCAACACCACACTGCAGGCACAGCAGACCATTGGTTCAGCTCTCTCTCAGGTATATCATAGTATGAAATGGTTGTGATGTGAATTAAATTGCAGCTAGATTAACCCACTCACGCCGGGTACATTTTGTAGCCAAAATTTAAAAAATCCGGGCGGCTACAAAATCGGCGGGCGGAGCTTCCCCGGAGTCTGTCCGCCCGCCCGGCCGCGCGCCGCTTCTGCCTCGGAGCGCAGCCCCGAGACAGCATCGCACTGGCGGGCAGCCCGACATTGTTTATTTTTCCCCGTGTCTCATATATGTGACACCCGGGACGAATGGGTTAATTTAGTTGATATACCTGTAATTTAGCTGATATACCTGTTATAAGTAATTGCTTCAAGAATGTTTTATTAGATCAGCAAAAAAAATTCATTGAACATAAAAAGAGATGTATCAATTCCACCCACAGCTGAATCAAGTGCAGGACACCATTAATGGTTTGCGTGAAACCCTGCGCCATGAGCAGAACCAGATGATTAGCACGTCAGGAGGGCAGTATGGCTCAGTCGTGCCCCAGATGATGCCTGACCTAGCCACTGCTAGTCTTGGTACATCCCCTTTGCCACATATGTCAGGAATTGCTGTCTCTGGTGTCGGGGCAGTCACTCCCATGTCTGCCTATGCAGGTCTTGGCTCCCTAGGACTGGCTGGGCAGGGTGAGTCCACCAGTTACATGTAGAATATATTGCATTGATTGGTTTTTGTGATATGCTTTGTTTCTTTTTTCTTTTTTTTTAAAGAAACAAAGGCATAGATACAGATATAAGTATATATATGTATGTTAACATATGTATGATTTTATTTTAGTTTACTCACTTTCTTTAGTCTTTTTTTTTTTTTCAATAACTAAACTCCAACTCTTGAAGAAGAATGATAAGTAATGCCCAAAAAGGGTTAGATTTTGATTGGAAACACTTAACCATTAACTACCTAACTGTATATTGATTAAGTAACTTAGAACTCTTTGAAACCACCTTATGAGCTGCTCCTCAGGCACCATCTGCAGCCATGAGCTATGTGCATATCAAAAGATAATAAACTTACTCAATCTGGCCCTGCACCTCCCAGAGAAGGTGGAACCCAGATATCAAAATATTTTTACTGTTTTGTTTTGTGCAGGCTTTTACTTTTGACTTGTGGCAAGACTCAGAACTGTTGTCATGAATGATCACAATTACTGGCCTGAGACTGTAGATTTCCAGGGCACCTTAATATTGTTATTACAGACTTTGGATGTTAAGAAGAGCACAAATACTTTAGAGGCAGATGTGTTCCTTAAGCATGACTATTATATTTATTTTCTAGAATTACTGTCTTTATTTTATAGTTGCAGTCTCAAATGGTAAAGTAATTTTCCCTGTTCTTGTAAATGTCAGGTGTTATTTGGAGTAGATGGGAATACTATATTTTTAAATAATATGATAAAAATAAATAAATAGAAGTAAGCATTAGAGGAGACCTCTTTCATCATGTGTTTGTCATTAAATGTTCTTGAATGAACACAAGTCTAGACTCAGTAATGTGTGAATGAAACAATAAAAGACATTATTAACCAATAGGATTGTTTGAGGATTGATTAGTAGGAAAGCCATCCAGAATAAACATATGGATTATACTAGTGTCCCCTCACACCATTTCATTCACATAGAAACAGGACTGATGTTCTGTCAAGAAAAGGGAAAGGAAAGCATATAGATTTTGCTGATATACTTATATGATACCCTATGCTGTACACATAGTAATACTCAAATTTGGAAATAGCTATTATAATTTAGAAATACTTTTAAAAAATCATTTTAGCTGCAAAGCTAGTTGAGCTATGATTGAGAATGAGTAATTCCATAACACATGAAGTGATTAACTTTTTTCTTCCTCCTTTTATTGTTTGTTTGTTTGTTTTCTTGTTTTTCCTGTTTTAAGATTGTCTATAGAAATTGTAAATAGTATGTCTGTTGGAAGTTTTAGTATCACTCCTTTTTAACATTTTGTCACTATTTTGTGTTTTAACAGGGGGTGAAATGGGCAGTCCCATGAACCAGCAGATGATGTCAGCTCTGCAGCAGTGCTTCTCTCAGCTCCATCTGCACTCCCTGGAGATCCAGGCCCTGAGCAAGCATCTGCAGGTGAGGCGACCAATGTTCTTCCCTCCATACTACCCGCCTTACCAGTGAAGGCTGGGCAGGTGCATGAGGCTCTAGTCACGCTGCCATAGACAGGGTTACAAATGTATGTAGGTAGCGATATGAAACTTTGGCATCACATCAGCTCAGCGATGAGTGAGGAGCTGTTAGTGTAAACATAATTTTAATTTTTTGGAGGTATTGTTATGTTTACTATTTATTCAAGTATGTGAATGGTATTTTATTTATTTGAGTTTTATGAATGCTGTACTGGGAAATGGAGGATTATAAAGCCAGGCAATGTGCAGTTCTCAGAACTCTAGATGTCATTGCAGATTTTTCATAGCTGAGTTTTTTGAAGAGCACTGTGAGGTAGCTGACTCTAAAAACATTCTTGTATATACAGTTCTGTTTGTATGATTTTAAAGAAGTATGCATACAAATGAAAAAAGATAATAATCCATCTAAAAGAATGAGACTTCCCATTCTTATTGTCCACTCAATATTGCAACTCCGTCCGGCTGTCTACCATCTATATCACTGGGGATGTGTAGCACTTAGAATTAAGACTCTAACACGCTCTGAGTTGTGCATCAAGATCAGAAACCAAAAGAGGTATGACTCTTTGTAAAGGATACGTTAGTTTCTACATAAGAAATGGCCCCTGCTTCTGTTTGTTTAGCATTTTTAGATTTCATTGTCAGAGAGAACCATCACTGTTATCAGACAAACTCTGTGATATATTTATTGGGAAGAAACAGATCTATGTAATGCTCCCAGTAAACGTGAGTTCAAAATGAAGGTGTTACTGGCCAGTCTTCTTCTTTTCTTGTCTTTTCTTTTTCTTTTTCTTCCTTTTTCTATCTTACTTTTTGTATCTGTATTTGAATTTCTTTTGTTTTCATTGTTCTCTGGTTTGTTCTCAAGAAAGTCAGCCTAGTAACTGACAAGCATTACGAGCATTGTATTATTCTCTAAGTTTCTAGACAATTAAGACGGGAAGGCACTGCACAGAGGTAATGGTAATTCTTTAGTGGCATTTGTTGCTCTCCCAAGTTAAGTTTTTGGTATAATAAAAGGAATGTATAGTATTACCCTTGTCTTCACATTATGAAAACTTTTTCATGGTTTTTATATTTAGTTCTTACTGTATATACTTTTTATGCTTTTTTGTTGTTGATATTGCTGCTGTTATGATTATTGCAATTATTGTTACCATTGTTATTATTGATTTATTCATTTTTATCAGTTTCTTTACTATTGTTGTCAAAACCATAACTGTTGTTTCTTTGATTATTGTTAGAATTATTATCATTATTATTGATTTATTCATTATTGTTGTGATTTTTTTTCATTATTATTATTTTTTATTTTTTTTTATTGTTATTGTTGCTGTTGTCATTATTTTTATTATCATCATTATTATTGTTATTATCATAGTTGATATTATTATTATTATTATTATTATTATTATTATTATTATTATTATTATCATTATTATTATTATCATCATTATTATTATCATCATTATTATTATTATTGTTAATAGTGTTTTAATTATTGTTATTTTTTATTATTATTATCATTTTAAGTATTATGACTATAGTAGCCTTGTATGCACTAGTTCCAAAAGAACATGTTGAATAGACCAAATTAAAGGCACAGATAATGTCACAGTGAATGGCAAAATGCATGTATTAAAGCAGCTATATAAGAAGACCATGTCATCCTCCCTTTGTAATCACACCAGTATGTTTTAGCAATGCACTTCACCTGAATATGAGTACTTGCATGTTCGTCAGAGCTTCACACTACAGGAATGTGGAATGTAGAATGGGCTAGTCTTTTTTCCTGTAAATTCTTCTGTTCTCATATGAGCTGTATTTTGGTTGGCAGTGAATAAATTCTTTTTTTCCCTGTTTTATTTCTCTTGACTTCCTTTTTTTGATTTGGTGGTTGGTATCTGCTTTGGAAACGCTTTGGATTCGTGCGCCAGAGGTGGCGGGAAAAATGCGTGGGAATGTGTAAATGGATGGGTGAGGATAGAAGGTTATGTCCTCTCCTCTCATCTTTGGGGTAACTCTCACGCAAACCCTTTCTCTTTCTTCTTCTTCTTCTTCTTCTTCTCTTCTTCTTCTTTCTTCTTTCTTCTTCTTCTCTTCTTCTTCTTCTTCTTCTTCTTCTTCTTCTTCTTCTTTTCTCTCTCTC